GGGAAGACCGATTTCTCAGATTTTAGATCAATATAGCCTCCTGTCACTTACGAAAGTTAAAGAATGCTTCAATCGGCGTGGAAATAATGACTGTGTTTTTCTGACCTAAACATAGGGTCATTTGATTCTGACGAATCAACCTTGAACTTTTAATAAAGAACGTATTTGGATTGGTTACATTTATGAACAAATGTCTTCGTTATCGGTTATCCTTTTATACATCTCGATAAGACCGAGCAGTTTGTGCTCTGCAGCTATGCAGATTTTCATGTGGGTGTCACCCCCAAAATGGTGTCACCCGGTGCGGTCCGCACCCCCCGCACCCCCCTCGCTACGCCACTGGTCTTGACAGGTCCTTAAAAAAAAGACATTTGGCTCTCATTTTTTTAAAATCCCTGCTGCTGATTTTTGGCGCTTTTGACTAATGCGCTGGCCGACCAATGACCTAAGGTAATATTTGTATAGCTCAACATGAGGATATCCGTCTTAAATATTAAGGTAATATTTGTATAGCTCAATATGAAGATATCCGTCTTTAATATTAAGGCAATATTTGTATAGCTCAACATGAAGATATCCATCTTTAATATCAATTATTTAAAAAATAATTTCTACTATTTTATGTGCAATCACATGAAAATCTTTTAGTTTATGTGTTTGTAAAATATTGACACTGTCAATACTGTATATTAACGCAAACACATTTTGCTACTTTTTATCAAATAATTTTTGTGTGCTTAGTAAACATTCTTAAGTCCTCAATTACTCACTCATTCATCGCTCACTCACTCATTCACTCCCTCCCTAAATCACTCACTCACTTAATCACTCAGTCACACACTCACTCACTCACCCACTCACTCATTCATTCGCTCACTCACTCATTTATTTATTCACTCGCTCACTTACTCATTCATTCACTCATTGATTCACTCACTCAATCATTCAATCATTCATTCATTAACTCACTCACTCATTCCCTAAATCACTCACTCACACAGTCACTCCTCCACTAACTCTCTCACTCATTCATTCATTCACTTATTCATTCGCTCACTCGCTCACTCACTCACTCACTCACTCACTCACTCACTCACTCACTCACTCACTCACTCACTCACTCACTCACTCACTCACTCACTCATTCATTCATTCACTCACTCACTCACTCACTCATTCACTCACTCACACACTCACTCATTTATTCACTTACTCATTCATTCACTGACTCACTCATTTACTCACTCATTCATGTGGTCGTAACCAGAGAATAAAAAAGAAACATATCAATCACATAACTGAGTTCATACATATCAATCACATAACTGAGTTCATACATATCAATCACATAACTGAGTTCATACATATCAATCACATAACTGAGTTCATACATATCAATCACATAACTGAGTTCATACATATCAATCACATAACTGAGTTCATACATATCAATCACATAACTGAGTTCATACATATCAATCACATAACTGAGTTCATACATATCAATCACATAACTGAGTTCATACATATCAATCACATAACTGAGTTCATACATATCAATCACATAACTGAGTTCATACATATCAATCACATAACTGAGTTCATACATATCAATCACATAACTGAGTTCATACATATCAATCACATAACTGAGTTTTACATATCAATCACATAACTGAGTTTTACATATCAATCACATAACTGAGTTCATACATATCAATCACATAACTGAGTTTTACATATCAATCACATAACTGACTTTTACATATCAATCACATAACTGAGTTCATACATATCAATCACATAACTGAGTTTTACATATCAATCACATAACTGAGGTCATACATTTCCCTGAAAAAAAAAATATATATATAAGAAGTGGCTATTCGGACCCGGGTCCGCGAAGTGAGAGGTTGGAATTAAAATTTAAAATAAAACATTATTGTTAGGTTGTAAGACAAAATGAGGTATAAAATAAAAGATAATTGAATGGACCATATGTTTGTAAACTTACTTCTTCAGTTTAACTAAAATAAACTACCACAAATGACATCCGAATAGTTTGAGTCTAAAGGGACCCGGGTCCGAATAGCAGTGATGCGTTTCCGGTTCTATTTTGACTAAATGCCATTCGGATGTCATTTGTGGCATTTTGTTTGAGTTCAACTGAAGAAGTCAGTTGACAAACATAGAGTCCATTCAATTAACTTTCATTTGATACCAAAATTTGTCGTACGAACCCTACAATAATTTTTAAATATTTTTTGATAAACCCAAACCCTCAACGGGACCGAATAGCCGCATCCATCTATATCTATCTCTAAATCCACTCTACTTATTTTTGCCGTCTTTTATATCGGAATAGGTCAATTGGGTTCCACTAAATTTCGACAAATTAAAACCCTGAAAACCAGACTCCGCAGTGTACACAAATGTGTCGAAAATGAGACTAAGAAGAAGCATGCAAACAACCGCCCTTCAATTTAATGTTAAAAAGGATTATAAAGCTCAAATACTAAAATGGTGTTCACACCTGTTTCTTAGAAGCAGGTATTTTTATATGGTTTTAAATACCGGTAATTACAATTCTTGACTGATTGTTATTCTAATTATCTGCCAGCACGATCTTGCTGCTGGCAATGTGACGATGGTGTGGTCTTCGCAGGATGAAATCCACAAGGCCTGGGATTATTCTTCAATGATTTATAAGTTGGTTTCCAACAGCAAATCGCCTCTCTCCACGCCGCTGGATAACCAAAGGGAACAGCATGTGGATGATACAGCCTGGCTACCAGTGACGTCGCAGGAGTTGTCAGAATGTTTCATTGTACCAATTTTATCCGCTTACGGGACTCCATCTCCGGGTTTTAATTAAGAGTTTCCATCTCTTAGATGAGTTGCCATCCAAGGTTAACGAGTCCCATCCACCCCCGGTGCTGGTGATGTTTATTGCTTGACTGGCATTGGTCTCCAGATCACCAACTCAGTTTAGACCACTCGGCCACCCAGCACCCAATTTTGCTGCACTTTCAATGTTTATCTTAGGGTCTGTCAACATTATCTTTGCTGCACTTTCACAATGGTAAATTCCCCATTAAGTTGAAATCACTTGTGGATACATCCTGTACATTACAAAACCATTGACATATTAATGTGTTACAGATGGATTTTATTCAATATCTGAGTGCAGTTAAACTCAATGGAGATTTATATTTCCTTATTTAATTGAACGCAATTTTTTGCGATTATTTTGTATGACTCACTCATCATTGAGTTAAAAATTTTGAGATTTGCACAAGATGATTCGAAAATAAAACCAACTTCATCAAATAATATCTGCTGCGTGGAAACCAAAAACGTATCTAAAACATTTAAGAGTGATATGGTTGGAATAAGAGTTTAGGAATTAGAGGTTAGTACGTTGTCTAAGCTTTGAACACTTAGTCTAGTCAAATTTCGGAACCTCAATTCACACACAAATATAATTAATTTTAAAAAAAATATTTTAAACAAACTGATATGAGCCTCCATGATTTTTTTAAACAATAATTAAAGGGCAACAATCTAAAATAAAAAAAATTCAGATGCAATTTTAAAATTTTTTTTTTTTTAAATTATGCCAATTGATTGGATTTATTGGTTTGTTGAGAACCAATGTTTCATATTTTACTTGAGTTTTGCTCTCGTCTTTTCTCTATGGCTTGCGAAAATCTAAAGCATGCAGTCGCCATGCTAGCAAAATAATTGTGCTGACATACAAGGAAAACTGTTCGAGAGTGTATGTTATTTTTGTCCATGACTTCCAGTGTTTAAAACAAACAGTTATGTTGTTGTTGGTTTTGTTTGTATGTGTATGTCAACTGGGTGCACGTATTAGTTTCATAGTCTGTGTCTTAGTATATGCCATAGTCTGTGTTCTAGTCTGTATCATATTTTGTGTCCTAGTTGGTGTCAAAGCCTGAGTCATAGTCTGTGTCATAGTCTGTGTCATAGTGTGTGTCTTAGTGTGTGTCATAGTCTGTGTCATAGAATGTGTCGTAGTATGTGTCATAGTTTGTGTCATTGTCTGTCGGTGTTACAGTCTGTATTATATTGTGTTTGTGTCATAGTCTGTGTCATAGTGTTTGTCATAGTCTGTGTCATAGTCTGTGTCATAGTGTGTGTCATAGTCTGTGTCATAGTCTGTGTCATAGTCTGTGTCATAGTCTGTGTCATAGTATGTGTCATAGTCTGTGTCATAGTCTGTGTCAAAGTGTGTGTCATAGTCTGTGTCATAGTGTGTGTCATAGTCTGTGTCATAGTGTGTGTCATAGTCTGTGTTATAGTCTGTGTCATAGTCTGTGTCATAGTCTGTGTCATAGTCTGTGTCATAGTGTGTGTCATAGTCTGTGTCATAGTCTGTGTCGTAGTCTGTGTCGTAGTCTGTGTCATAGTATGTGTCGTAGTATGTGTCGTAGTATGTGTCATAGTTTGTGTCATTGTCTGTCGATGTCATAGTCTGTCTGTATCATAGGGTTTGTTTCATAATGTGTGTCATAGTGTGTGCCATAGTCTGTGTCGTAGTATGTGTCATAGTTTTTGTGCCATAGTCTGTGTCATAGTGTTTGTCATAGTCTGTGTCATAGTCTGTGTCATAGTCTGTGTCATAGTCTGTGTCATAGTCTGTGTCATAGTCTGTGTCATAGTCTGTGTCATAGTATGTGTCATAGTCTGTGTCATAGTCTGTGTCAAAGTGTGTGTCATAGTCTGTGTCATAGTGTGTGTCATAGTCTGTGTCATAGTGTGTGTCATAGTCTGTGTTATAGTCTGTGTCATAGTCTGTGTCATAGTCTGTGTCATAGTCTGTGTCATAGTGTGTGTCATAGTCTGTGTCATAGTCTGTGTCGTAGTCTGTGTCGTAGTCTGTGTCGTAGTCTGTGTCGTAGTCTGTGTCGTAGTCTGTGTCATAGTCTGTGCATTCATTTCAACTTTGCCTGAAATAAAGTGTTCAACGTCTTCTTATAACGGCTGTTCATGCTGTAGTAGACCAAGATATTGACGCTGGAGTTAATGCCCTCGAATATAAAAGTGATGCTGTAGCAGACGTAGAAGAGGCTCCGGTATTTTCCGGTTAAGCTGAACTCTATTTCAAAGACGGTTATGATGAGGATGGTGATGGAGGGCGTCACGCTGATCAGGAAAATGGCCGCCACGATGGTCACCATTTTGACAGCACGGCGATCGTTTCTTGAGAAATTCTTCAAGTTGCCGCCCTTGTCACAAGCAGCTTCTTTCCGCCATTTCGTCTTCTTGTTCAGTTCGATGGTGATGATGACCGTGCAGACAAAGGCCACGCCGAAAGAACTTAGTGACGACACAGGGATGTTGAGCATGTTCGAAATGTACGTTATGTGTATGGCGTTTTCGGACCTGATCAAACCGAGGAGAGTCCTGTTGTACGCTGGGTAAAACTTCCAACCCAGGCTGTGTGTGGCGTAGGTGGGGACAACCCCGGCAAACACGAGCACGAAAATGGCCACAAGGCACAGCTTGACTCGTGCAGTCGTCACGACTGTTTTCACCTTGAGAGGCGTGGCTATGCACAGGCATCTCTCGAACATGATGAACGCCGTGATCCAGCTGGTCACCTTGGTGAAACACGTGTGTGGCCAGCCCGTGGTCAGAAACTCGACTTCGATACCCACGAAGTGCACGCCCGTGCCGATGAACATCGGGTGGCCCAAAACGCATGTGCAAATCACCAGCAGCAGGGATAACAGATCTGAGATTGCCAAAGCAAAGAGGCTGAGATTGACATTGTCCTTGACCCCTTGTTTCGTGAACACCACGAGGTTGATGACATTGGCGAAAGTTCCGACGATCGCTATAGAGATGACTATGATATCTGTACTGAACCGCAGTAAGCTTAAGGCGCGCTCATAAATTTCATTTGCGTTTTCACTAATCGACCGCTCTAGTGTGGTTGTAGAGGGCATCTTTGTCACTTTCATCTGAGTTTATTTCATTTTGTAAATTGGATTTCGAATTTGTACAAAAATATTTTTATAATTTTTTACTTCATAGGTTGAAAAATTAATTTAATGTGGTTCGGTCATTTAACGTTAATTATTTATTAACGGTGAGAATTTGTATGCTTAATTTTTGTACAGCACAAATGTTGTGGTTGTATAACATTGCGTCAAACAAAATGCATCTAAATGACGGGCAAGACATCAAATGAAACTATAACCTAAGTCCAAGTGAGTACTGCTTTTTAAATGAATAACTTATTCCTAGTGAGTACTGCTTTCTGCATTAATAACTTATTCCTAGTGAGTACTGCTTTCTGCATTAATAACTTATTCCTAGTGAGTGTTGCTTTGTGCATTAATAACTTATTCCTAGTGAGTGTTGCTTTCTGCATTAATAACTTATTCCTAGTGAGGGTTGCTTTCTGCATTAATAACTTATTCCTAGTGAGTACTGCTTTCTGCATTAATAACTTATTCCTAGTGAGTACTGCTTTCTGCATTAATAACTTATTCCTAGTGAGTGTTGCTTTGTGCATTAATAACTTATTCCTAGTGAGGGTTGCTTTCTGCATTAATAACTTATTCCTAGTGAGGGTTGCTTTCTGTATTAATAACTTATTCCTAGTAAGGATTGCTTTCTCAATTAATAACTTTTACCTGATGAGGACTGCTTTCTACACAAATAACTTATTCCTAGTAAGGATTGCTTTCTCCATTAATAACTTTTACCTGGTGAGGACTGCTTTCTGCATAAATAACTTATTCCTAGTGAGGATTGCTTCCTCCATTAATAACTTATTCCTAGTAAGGATTGCTTTCTCCATTAATAACTTTTACCTGGTGAGAACTGCTTTCTGCATAAATAACTTATTCCTAGTGAGGATTGCTTTCTTCATAAATAACTTATTCCTAGTGAGGATTGCTTTCTGCATAAATAACTTATTCCTAGTGAGCATTGCTTTCTTCATAAATAACTTATTCCTAGTGAGGATTGCTTTCTGCATAAATAACTTATTCCTAGTGAGGATTGCTTTCTTCATAAATAACTTATTCCTAGTGAGGATTGCTTTCTTCATAAATAACTTATTCCTAGTGAGGATTGCTTTCTGCATAAATAACTTATCCCTAGTGAGGATTGCTTTCTTCATAAATAACTTATTCCTAGGGTGGATTGCTTTCTTCATAAATAACTTATTCCTAGTGAGGATTGCTTTCTGCATAAATAACTTATTCCTAGTGAGCATTGCTTTCTTCATAAATAACTTATTCCTAGTGAGGATTGCTTTCTTCATAAATAACTTATTCCTAGTGAGGATTGCTTTCTTCATAAACAACTTATATCTAGTGAGGATTGCTTTCTTCATAAATAACTTATTCCTAGTGAGGATTGCTTTCTTCATAAATAACTTATTCCTAGTGAGGACTGCTTTCTACACAAATAACTTATTCCTAGTGAGGATTGCTTTCTTCATAAATAACTTATTCCTAGTGAGGATTGCTTTCTTCATAAATAACTTATTCCTAGTGAGGACTGCTTTCTACACAAAAATCTTATTCCTAGTGAGTATTGCTTTCTTCATAAATAATTTATTCCTAGTGAGGATTGCTTTCTTCATAAATAACTTATTCCTAGTGAGGACTGCTTTCTACACAAATAACTTATTCCTAGTGAGGACTGCTTTCTACACAAATAACCTATTCTAGTGAGGACTGCTTTCTACACAAATAACTTATTCCTAGTAAGGACTGCTTTCTACACAAATAACTTATTCCTAGTGAGGACTGCTTTCTACACAAATAACTTATTCCTAGTGAGGATTGCTTTCTTCATAAATAACTTATTCCTAGTGAGGATTGCTTTCTTCATAAATAACTTATTCCTAGTGAGGACTGCTTTCTACACAAATAACTTATTCCTAGTGAGGACTGCTTTCTACACAAATAACTTATTCCTAGTGAGGATTGCTTTCTTCATAAATAACTTATTTCTAGTGAAGATTGCTATCTTCATAAATAACTTATTCCTAGTGAGGACTGCTTTCTACACAAATAACTTATTCCTAGTGAGGACTGCTTTATACACAAATAACTTATTCCTAGTGAGGACTGCTTTCTACACAAATAACTTATTCCTAGTGAGTATTGCTTTCTTCATAACTAACTTATTCCTAGTGAGGACTGCTTTCTACACAAATAACTTATTCCTAGTGAGGACTGCTTTCTACACAAATAACTTATTCCTAGTGAGGATTGCTTTCTTCATAAATAACTTATTCCTAGTGAGGATTGCTATCTTCATAAATAACTTATTCCTAGTGAGGACTGCTTTCTACACAAATAACTTATTCCTAGTGAGGACTGCTTTCTACACAAATAACTTATTCCTAGTGAGGACTGCTTTCTACACAAATAACTTATTCCTAGTGAGTATTGCTTTCTTCATAAATAACTTATTCCTAGTGAGGACTGCTTTCTACACAAATAACTTATTCCTAGTGAGGACTGCTTTCTACACAAATAACTTATTCCTAGTGAGGACTGCTTTCTACACAAATAACTTTTTCCTAGTGAGGATTGCTTTCTTCATAAATAACTTATTCCTAGTGAGGACTGCTTTCTACACAAATAACTTATTCCTAGTGAGTGTTGCTTTCTTCATCATTATCCTGAGAACTTTTGAGGATTGCTTTTACATTAATCACCTTTGTCCTAATGAGGAAAGCTTTCTTCATTAACTCATTTTTTATTTATTATTACCTTTTTAATTATTTTAATTTTTTTTTAAATATTAAAAGAGTCGAACATTGTGGAACCGTTGTAAATATAACCCCTTGATCCCATCCTATGTGTCTATAGATCGTTCTAACCCCTTGATCCCATCCTATGTGTCTATATATCCTTTCAGTACCAATAAGTTGCTGGGCCATTCACGAACTGCGTAGAGATGTTTTGATATTAGTTGTGGAATGCCATCGAACGTTATATAATTATGTCCCCCGGTGTTGGAAATGCCAAACAATTATTTCGATTGCGATGTGATAATAAAAAAAAGAATTGTGAACCTCAGGTGTAGAGTAACTTGCCAATGTAATGTGCATCATTTGGCAGTAATAACGGTGATTTTGCGGTACAATTATAAAGAAATTCTTTGGGCTTCCTCCGTGATCATCATTTTGTTTTAAAAACCATAAATTTGGCCGACACTCACGGGTGAATAAATTCTAAACCAATAGATTTTTACCCAGACAGGTTATCATTATTTATGAGTCGATAATGACACAGAGTGCTAACAAATGTAATGATATATTTGAGAAATTAAGTTGGTGCATAGCTGCGTGTTTGAGTATTGACTTTCTCTATGAGGTATGACGTGATCAATTGAACATGCAAATAACGGTGCACAGTGTTTAATGCGACTGGCGTTCAGTGCAGCAAGACGTATGTAAGACATACTGTATGGACGTCGCAATAAACAATATTGAATGCCTCTTAACTATCAGATCGTTACTCTGCATTTGTTTCGGGGGTCTTCGCGTTTTATAATCTATGTACAACTCGAGTTCTTAGCGCCTTCATTCCTTCATTCAACTCAGACAGTGTTTGAAATATGTTGGTAAACTAAGTTTTCACACATACGCAAATGAACTCATATCTCCCACCCCAAACCGGGAAAAAATAAAGAAATAAATTTACCTGTCGAGATCTTCAGACTTTTTTTACGGCTAATTTTTTTAAGAGTCACAATTTTAATATTAACGAACAAAGAAAACAATTAAATAAAATATTCGTACGACTATGTTGTTATGATAGTAAATGAAGGAGTACGTTGAAGCCAAGCGAAGGAAATAGTGAAAATAGGTAAGATGGAGCTTGAAATGAAAAGACAGAACAATACAAGGAGAACGTTTCAACTAAGAGCAGACAAGACAAAACCAGAAACCATAAGAAATAGAAAACAGATTTAACATTGATGTGTTTGGAGTTCGTCATGTAGACATTAACACCAGAAGTTGGCTTGTCAAAAACCGAAATATGTGTGCTGTCAAAAAGATTGGAGGAAGTAAAAGAATGTATGAATGATTACTGTGAAATGTACGATTTTAATGGCCAAAAATATTTTGGGAAAAAGTCAAATATATTAGAAATAAGAAAAGAATTACAAGGACACTGGTGATCACCAGAAGGAGAGTATGTGATTCAGGAGAGTATGTGATTCAGGAGAGTATATGATTCAGGAGAGTATGGGATTCAGGAGAGTATGTGATTCAGGAGAGTATGTGATTCAGGAGAGTATGTGATTCAGGAGAGTATGTGATTCATTCCATATGTTGATATGGTGCCAAAAATTCTGAGGCGTATCTTGTGCTGCTTTGGGCAAATGGAACTATCGTATTACTACCCGCCCCCCCCCAAACAGAATAAAAAAAAAAATTCAGGATATTGTAACCGCCTTTCTTACACAAAAATTTTTTTTTTCCATTTGACATGCGTTGTTCTTATTTGGACGAGTGATAAGTGCATTAGTAAATGCTATTTGAATATGTAGTTTCACTGCACTGATTGCATTCAACGGCATTTTCGTATTAAAAGTGTATGTTAGGGTCAAGTTTTTTTACTACTTTATAACTTTCATAAAAGTTTTTTTTAGAAAGAATAAAGAGTAAAAAGTTATTAAATGTTAAAATAACAAGCTAAAGTTGAATATAATTTTAGAATATTTTAGCAATTTAAAAAGCCATCTATTATTTTTATTAATTTTACTTTTAAATTCAGGACAAGACATGATCAGTTTTGTCATGCACTGTTATAAAATCAAATAAACTTCGAGCTGTGGCTAAAATAGGCGATCATGCTAT